TATTGTGCTTGTCATCTGACAAGGCAATATGCCCAAGGGATGATGTAGTTCGTTTGGGGGTATGTTACTGTAAAGAGTAACACTTTGTGGAGACAGGTGCGTTTTTTGAACTGAGAAAGTGTATTTCACAAAAAACCTCATAGTGGTTTTGGTAATTCACCTGAACACCAGTAATAGTAAATCCTATTGAAGCTATGAACTAGCCAAAATTGTATGCTAAAATATGAAGGCACTCACCTAACGGAATCATGGTTATAACATTGAATTTTTTACTGGATTGAGGTAATTTTCCCCACCTCTCTCAAAAAGAAGTATACAATGCACATCTGACATGCAGATATTCAATTTTTAATTGGATTAAGGAAACTTAAGGTCATACCTGCATCTTTTTAAAGTGTTTAATTTGTGTCCAAGTTGGTTTGATGTGGGGGGCTTGAATAACATAAAAATAGACACATCTCCCCCCTGTAATATTTTTGATTATATATGATTGAAATGGAGCTAAATGACTATGCTTTTTAGTGCTCCTTTTATCATTCTGTTATTTAATGACATATTTATCTATGAGCCTGTTGCTGGATGCAGGCTGTTGTGGTGGAATTGACTACTCCATGCACTCCTGGTTGCAGAGGCAAAGATGGTACCAATGGAGAAGTGGCTCCTGGCAATGTGTTTTCCATTCAACATCTTATGCCTGTTGGTATGATTCTCGAAGTGTTAACTGATCTGATTCTAAGGATTATAATTCTGCCAAAATACAGAAGACCATAGCCTCAAAGGAAAACATCTTGTCAAAAACTGCTTTGAGAGTTCTACATAGTAAAAGAGATGAACTGGTTAGATTTTTTTTTTTTTTCTTTTACTTTGTTGAAACAATTCCCAAGATGCATGCCTCCTTTGACTTGGCAAACACAAAGATAACTGGATTCATAATTAATATGGAGTTGATTACAACTTCAGGTTTATGTTGATGAGATTGACATAATGATTGTGTGAATTTTTGAAGTGAATTTCACCATTTTGAATGAAAACTGCAAACTGTGGATATTCCAGTTGGTTGATTTTACCACATAGATTTTATCAGTTAGTGAATCTCGTTGTTTTGATTATTCTGGCTCTTCTATTTCATATTCACAGTTGGTTCATTGTGTTCTTTTGCATCTTCCTTTCTTGTGAAGATACTTTTAAATTTTACATAAAGTATGTTGTTCATCCTCAGGTTCTTAATCAACGTCTCATAGAGGATAAGATTGCTCAGTATGATAAAAAGATCCAGACAATTATGAGTGGTATGTTTTCACAGTTTTCTTTTCTGTTATTCATCTCCTTAATGATACAACTATCCTATACTTTTTTTCCTTTCTAGCGTTACTTCATTAGTATTTGGAAATGGCAGACTACCAATTAAAAATCACTAACATTGGTCTTAGTATGTAATAATTATCATAAAATTGCAAACTTGAGTCTCCTGAAAAGTGGCTCTGTTTATAAAGGAATAGAAAAGGAAGAGCATATCAAGTAAAATTGGAGGTTCCAGTTTAGTACATGTTCAGCTTGCACTATGTTCTAGGTAATTTTCTTTGCAGTAAGAGAGCTCACTATATTTGCTTGAACTGTCATATTCTATGCTTTTCATCAGAAATTTTTTAAGACCTGTAGCCAGCAAGTTAAAGGAACTGAAATTTTATAAAATGCATAGATGCTGTAGTAGAGAGGTTATGCTGGTTAAAAGATAATTGTGCTCAGGTAGATTTCTAAAAGTAATTAAATTCTATTCTCATCATCCACATCTTCCCTCATTGAAATCTGGGTTGCTTATTTGATATTGTGAGCTATTACACTGGTTTCAATTGATAAACCAGTCAGTATCATCGAGAAAAATAACTATTATATTAAGAATAACGGAAGTATTGCCCTTTCCAGGCATTTGCATCCTGGTCTGTAATTTAATGATTTATAGAAAATAAAAATTAACCATAAAACTTAGAGTGTCATGTAAGGCTCTTAATTGCTCTAGAGAGCAAATTACGGGTCAATCATCCGATGCTTCAATCTGTCCACTGCAAAATGATGCTTCCCGACTTACAGTTCACAACTAAGTTTAAATAGTCTAGAATAATGGTCTCTATCTAAATTAGTCATAACTAGAGTAGTAAATTAACTAGAGTAGCCTAAAGAGATGGAACACACAATTTAATTAAAAAATAGTGCAGGAATCAATGAAAAGTAAATTAAGTAGTACTAATTCATGAAAACTGAAATGCATTATTAAAACCTGGCATGGATGAAAGTACATCCTAACAGACATAAATTAGTTACATTATTACAACACTAGAATCTTAGAATATTATCCAAGATTAAATAGTAGCAATTGGTGACACACCTCTCAATCAAATAAAACCATGCTCGTCGCCAATATGGATTTATGTATAGGACTGCTCCAATTGATAACAAAACAACCACATAAGTAACTAAAAAGCTTATATAGAAAACATCCATCTCTATCAAACTGCCTTCTCTTTTTTCATTTAAGGAATTTGGTACCTTTGGTTGTGCACTAGTTTCCTTGCAACTTTTTTCCAATGGAGGTCCGCAAAGAAGCGGGTTTCCCTCATAACTGTTGTTGTCAAAGGTTCCAAACTGTCCTTTTCCATATGGGATGGGACCTAAAAGATTGTTGTGTGCAACACTAAAAACTGCCAAAAAGTTTAGCTCAGTAAGTTGAGATGGAATCTCACCAGTCAAATCATTGAAAGAAAGGTCCAAGCTTTCAAGTTGCTTCAAATCTGAGAGGGTAGAAGGTATGGGTCCAGTTAAGTTGTTGTGGGACAAGTTAAGTGAATGAATGTCACTTAAGTTTCCCATTGCAAGTGGGATTAAGCCTGTTAGTTGGTTACAAGAGAGATCAATTTCAGACATGTAATCAAGAATGTTGCCTTCATAAGTGTAAGACCACCACTTGGTAACAAGTTCTATCCAATGTTGCCCATGGCTACCCAATTGTGTATGTACCTCTTGCATTAATCTAGCTTCCATTTCTGTCGATGTGTCAAAGTTAAATGTTGAAGAATCGAAAATTTCACTCCATGATGAAAATGAATTCGGAGCGCCAATTAAATGTCCGAAACAAGAAGGTATATGACCAGAAAGTTGATTATGAGACAAATCCACGATTCGTAGTTGGTCCAACTCACATATTTCATTTGGAATTTCACCAAAAAAGAGATTACCTTTTAGACGCAAGATCCTCAAGGAAGAAAGGTTGCTGATCCATTTTGGAATGCCTCCAGAAAGGTTGTTTTCTCCAAGATCTAGTATCTCCAATGAAGAGATGTTCAAGAATGAATGTGTTAGAAGACCATTTAGTCTATTTTTGCTCAAATAGATTTCTGATAAGTGTCGTGAGGATGGACTAGAGCAATGTGGTAGAGACCCAGATAAATTGTTGTGAGATAGGTCGAGCCGAAGGCTAGCAATATAGCAAAATTCCTCTGGAATTGAACCATCAAAGTGATTGGTGGATAAATCCAATTCAGACAAATGAAGGAAATTCTTTGACCATCTTGGAAGCTTTCCTGACAAATTGTTGTTGCTAATGTCCAATATGCTTAGAGCTGAATACCCAGAAAAGTGGACATTGGATATCTCTCCTTCAAAATTGTTTCTGTCTAGATACAATGCTTCCAATGATTGAAGCTTAAATAAACCAGGAGGTATTTTCCCAATCAAGTTGTTATTTGAAAGTCTAAGATAAAGAAATGATTTTCCTATAACAAACTCTTTTGGTAATGTTCCAGAGAATTGGTTGCTAGACAAGTCTAAAAATTTTAAAGAGTTCATACTAACCAACCACTTAGACAATCTTCCTCCAAAGCCATTGCCAGACAAGAATAACCATGTTAAATATGGAAAAATCATACTGATATTTAATGGGATTTCACCTTGTATTTGGTTATTCGAAATATCTATTTG